GTGGAAGTTGTCCGAATAGCTACTTTTTCTGTCCTAACTCAAAAATTAAAAAAAAAAAATTCTGATTTTATATTGTTCCGTTTTCTCAAAAATCGCGAAAATGCGGTTTTTGGTACCAAAATAGTTCCAACCACTTCCGAACTAAACTTAACCGGTTCTACCTACTATAGTAGTGCAATTACGATGTAACACACCAATTTAGCGCTTTTTTTGTTTCAAAAAATATCGATATGTCAAAAATCGCGATTTGTGGGGGGGATCAAAATATCGCTATTTTGACCCTAAAAACCGGTCCACTTACTGTGTTTTTCACTGAAAAACGATATAGGAGTATTAATATAGGCTATTTAAGTAATAATATTAGTAATACTATACCCCTCCGGGTTTGTTCAATATATAAGACCCCTCCGGATTGGGACCCCTCCGAATCAGGAAAAATTTGGACCCCTCCTGATTGTGACCCCTCCGGTTTTGTAAAATTAGCTTTTCTGAGACTTCCTTGATTTTCAACCTATACCCCTCCAGATACGTTCTCCGATGCTATTATGCTGTTTGTATCAACTAGAAGGGTATGTTGTCCTTCCCTAGACCCTTCCGGATTGTAGTTAGGCCTCTTATTTGACAATTCACGCTAACGGTGAAGGGTCTTATCGCTAGCCTAATTCCGGCACTATTAAGGTTTTCTGGTGCCTTTAGCCTTCCCTATTCTTCTAGAACAGCGTAAAATTGCCTTATTCAACCGTTTCTACCCTTTGGTAGGGGTGTAAGGGCTTTCCAAAATTTTTTTTATAAAACGTGAGGGGTCTACCCTCCCGAATTGATGAATTTGCTAAAAACAATCTCAAAAATTTTCACGCTTACTTTTTCGAATAACTTTTGTTCCTATTAGTAAGATCAACTAATTTCTGATCTATTGGTACCAAAATTAACTGGATTTGTCCAGTAGCTCGAAAGTTATTAACCAAAACGTCTTAGTTCTGAAGTCAAGAAATTTCTCTCTTATAGGTTCCGCCCAATTTTTTCCGCGCAATTCTGTTCTTTTCAACCTAAAAATTATTGATCCGAGCTCAGAAGGCCTATACTCTTCTAGTTAAAGGCAAAAAACACGATCTAAAACGCTATAGTTAAAAAAAATTTACGAAAAACTATGCTATTTGGACCCCTCCGGATTGATGAATCCACTGAATCAAACACGTTAGGTTCAATTTCTCTGTAACCCGGAAGGCTTTCGGTATGCGGGTTTTAGAACCTGTAGATTCACTAGTGGAAGTTGTCCGAATAGCTACTTTTGCTGTCCTAACTCAAAAATTAAAAAAAAAAATTTTCTGATTTTATATTGTTCCGTTTTCTCAAAAATCGCGAAAATGCGGTTTTTGGTACCAAAATAGTTCCAACCACTTCCGAACTAAACTTAACCGGTTCTACCTACTATAGTAGTGCAATTACGATGTAACACACCAATTTAGCGCTTTTTTTGTTTCAAAAAATATCGATATGTCAAAAATCGCGATTTGTGGGGGGGGATCAAAATATCGCTATTTTGACCCTAAAAACCGGTCCACTTACTGTGTTTTTCACTGAAAAACGATATAGGAGTATTAATATAGGCTATATAAGTAATAATATTAGTAATACTATACCCCTCCGGGTTTGTTCAATATCCGAATTAAGGTGCTTAACTCGGATGTTCGCAGTTCGGTGAAGGGTCACTACAGTGCAGCACTGTCGAGCCCCCCACAGATTACTATCATAATTTTGTACCAAAAGGGATACAAAACTTGTTAACGATACCCAACAGTCGACTTTTGTTGTCGTTGAGCCCCTCTTTGTTGCTCCTTGTACTGCTTGCCGGATCAGTCTTCTCCCAAGACCCCTCCGGATTGAGCGCAAATCAGCAGACCCTTCCGGATTGAGCGCAAATTAGCATTAACTTGCTTAAATACTCAAACAACCCTACAATCCTCATAAACGGGCTACAAAATGATCGTAGCGATCCTGATTGATATAAATGCCTGTAACAACAATGTATCTATCAACAACAAACGGGAGGGTCGGATCACATCTTGTCTGGGGGGATGATTTCTACTGATTTTTTTTTCTTTTTTTCTACTGTTTTTGGTTTTTTCGGTTATTTTTTTACATTTTTTGTTTTTCTTGGGTACTATACTAATTTTTGTTTGGTTTTATTTATATCTTTAAGTGTTTTTGGTCACGGAGCTCTCAGGGAACGAGGGGATGGCCGATCCCCCACCCTTCCTTGTTCGTGAATTTTCGGTCTTAACTAGGTTAAAAAGCTATTCACGGTAATCCGGAAGGCTTTCGCCTTCCGAACTACCCTTCCGCCTCGGCGGTTTTGGCCTATTAAGGGTGTTAATGTGAGCATCCGCTCAGCGCGGAGTGCTCGTTAACGGTTCTGCCGGTCATGATGTTAAAAAAGAATAACACCCAGGAGCGCCATAAAAACATCTATGTAACATTCGCCCGGAAGTACATATCGACGGAAAATAAAGCTAAGCTATAAAGCGACTGGCCAGCGTCTAAACTAAGCTTTACCTACTTTTCACCGTCTCTACCAAAACCAGTTCTTTTGGTGGTCTTTCTAACATCGGGTCGACAAAAACGTTACTGCTTTCGGCTTCGGTCAAAACACTCAGATTAACTTAATTACATGCAAAAAAAGTGAACTCATGGCTGGGTCTCAGTATCCCCAGACCACGAGGTCACTCCTAAAATCAGGGCTACTACTACTTATAATATTTTTATTGTTTTTGTTCAGTAGATAAAAATCATCATCTCCATCGAAGATGGATCAACCCTTTCCCCCAACTGCTAGCTTCTCATCCTTGCAAAATGAATTCAGATGTTATTTAAATTTAATTCAGGACATAATAGGGAAATTAAAAGTTTGTATAAAATGATATCAGTTCCAGTCCCGAGACCCCTCCGGATTCTTGAATCCGGGGAAATAAGACCCTTATCTTCCTTCCGGAAGGCTGTCCTCTACCCTTCACCGTTGTTTGCAACGGCCTTGCATCTATTGTAGTAACACAATAGTTGCAATTCGGAACGGTCTCTCTCTGCTACTCCTGTTTTTCTCCGATTCTGATTCTCAATTTTCACGTTGTTGTCGTCGTCGCAACTATTGTTGTTCTGTTTTTATTTTGGTTTTTCTCCAAAATGGCCGTTCTTGACGTTTCTCAGAATTATTCCGTCATCATTTCGAATTTTTAAAATTTCCGAATCCTTCAGCTTTCACGATTTGTCTAATTGTCTGAATAACGCTCTTAATCCTTCAAAACTGCCAATTCGGAAGGTTCGCTGCTAAAAACTCGAAACTGTTGTATCTGCATTTTTGTCCATTCTGGTCGAATGTCACAGTCTAGTACAAGTCAAAAGGTAGGTAATGTGAATATGAATGCTGTTTGAATTGGTATCACGTAAAATGCGATGATATATTAGATGATGGGTATCGAAATATAAGTGAAACTGTCTGGTACTCTAGAAATTGCATCGCGATAAGGTAGAAAAATAAGTCAGTGCAGCAAGCTAACTTTTTTCTCCGTTACGTTGACGATATTGTGAAAACAGTGAAAAGTGATACTGGAGTGGTGCAAGTTATTTTTATAAAAACAGGAAAATTATTTGTTGATGTTATCAGAAACCAACAGATAAAGGAACCATGCTACATCTTAGAAATTGCGCCTCTTCGAGTACAAGAGAAATGCGTTGAAACTATATTGAGAATGCGTTAAAACTAAATTCAATCGAACGTTTTCGCACATTTTTGTGCATCTTCAGGTTTTAAAATTCTAAACTATCTGTACGAAACGATCAAAGATCACAAAAAGTGTCATACAAATCATTATTTTCTCGAGTCGATTTGTTTTTAATGAAGAAACGTAACCCGTATTGAGTTTAATTTTTAACACAGCAACACTAATAATCTCCTTTTTACCATTATCCTTTTCATATCTAAAAAATTTCATGGGTTTTTTCTGGAATATGTGATGGAGGGACTCCTGACTGAAACCTTGGTTACTCTGGTACTCTTGACCATAGTAGACAAAAAAAGAATACAATTGCTGAAAAAATACTCGTTAATTACAGTCAATAAACTACTAAAGTTACGACTCCTGTTAGGAGAAACTAGTCTTGACTTGGCTCAACGCCTTGGGGTTACAAAAGTTGAAATCTAAAAAGGTCGAGGTGTTTTATGGTTCATTATTGTTCTAAACTTTCGATTCGCCATTTGTAATTAAAGTTTGTATTCTTAATTGACTTTTGAAAGAAAAGAAAAGAAAAACTTTCTTTGTAAAGGTTAAGCAACCGATTCAATTGAAAAAAAAAGAAAACAATAAATGGCATCCATTTCCAAAGTTCTGCAATTGCATTGAGTTTAAAAAGGACAACAAGATGGAGATACTTTATTTATGGTAACGATTACTAGCCGCGTCTTCCAATCTTCTGATGGATTGGTACATTATATATAAAAAAGAGCACTTGAATTGCAAAATGATAAGATATAACATGATGCAAGTGTAGGTCATGCAATTTTTGTCTAGGATAGTAAATTTTTACAGAATACTAGAGTAACAATGATAATTTAAATTGTTTCCACGATGTTTTTCCATAGGTTGCCAGAGAGATATCTTTATTGAAAATAGATAGAAATTAATTCTTAAATTTAAATTTCATAGTTTTATAACTTAAGCTGCTGTTGGTAATGTTTGCATTCTTGCTTTCAATTTGGTTCCATTCTAAATTGAATTTCTGAAAAAAAACTGTTTTTGATATAATGACTGCTGAATTTTTCTTTGAAGTCTAATTTTTTTGTTATTGTTCTCATCAATTTGGTTCTCGTACTTGATTTTTAGGTATGCTGGTAAGAGATTATGTTTAATTTTCCAAAGGTGACAGACTAATTTCCAATTGAGAAACATTGAAACTGGTAGTATATTGTATTTTAGTTTAAGATCAGATGATGAATCCTAAGAAACAGCGCTGATATCATATCAATGTTTTTTTTTCAGGCAAAACCATGGTTGTTCCAATATTTATATCGACTCAATATAAAGAAGCTAAGGATCTTGATGCTCAGATAGGGGAAGCTGACGATGTGGAGCACCTTGAGAACCCTAATTTCGAATTCGAAGAAACCTTCGAAGTGGAAGCAAGGTATGTAAGTTTTCAATAGAAAAGTTCGAAGATTAAACTTATAAAAATATTTCTTGTAATTTTCAGGGATTTGAAACTACGTCCAGTCAGAAAGCACAAGTCGGTCTGGCGTTCTGGATGGTTCTTATTCTGCATTTTCATCCTTATTTGCATGGTTGGAGTGCTGAGTTTCCTTGTGAGCAGCTATATCTCAAAATTGTGAGTTAATTTGCCTATGTAGAAAGTAGCACGGATTATTCTCACCATTCAATGGTCTGTCTTTGTTTGAAGAGGGTAGTTGCCTAACATTAATATTAAGCTTAAGGTAATATGAGTTAACATGAGAGTAAATAATCGGTATGGTCGTCTACTCTTTTCTCATTCAATCTTCCTAAGGAAAATGGTCAAAATAAACCAGTGCGAGGATTGTGCAATTTTATATCGCAATAGATTGTATTGCAGAAAAAAAAACGTCTCTGTTTATGCTTAAGAAACATATTTATTTACTCTAGCGTCAGCTTAGTGTGTTATTAAGAACCTTCTTTTTTTTAACCTAACTTGCAAATAAAAGTGTTCATTAAAAGTCTTTACTTATTAGGAAATTTCACTGTAGCATTGGAAATTGCATAGCTTCTGTTCTCTTCTTTATTTGTGGCTAGCGTTTAATATTCCATCTTTCTGTGTACTAATAAGCGTCCGTGGCCCGAGTGGTAAGTGTGTGTGACTCTAAATCGGAAGATCTGAGGTGCGAATCTTAGACGTAGCCGAATTTTCGCAAATTCGAGGCTTATTAATACTTTTTCATATTGTACTTAATAAAGCTGCTTGTCGTGTTCTCGCTAGTGTTTGCGTAGCGAAGCTTTCCCTCTGTCTAGAATATTTATGGGAAAACTGAAATATCGGTTTTATCGACAATTATGTTTTTCCCATGTAAACAATTCTTATTATATCAGTATAAACCATTCTTCTATCAGAAGCATTGTTAGCTGTAGTGGAAGTAATGGCATGTTGGTTTTCTGGAAAATGGATATTAACATTCAAATGGGCGAAAAGTCGCATAGAAACGAATTACTTAAGGTCGTTTTTTTCTGAATACATGGATTTGGATTTTTTAGTATCGGCTTATTTGACTGACAAGGTCATTTAAATGCTGGAAATAGATTTTGGCGTGTGTGCGCTCAGTTTTTACTTGCTGGAGAGTTTTCTTACGTGACTAATATTTTTGCTGGACTGTTTTGCTAGCGCATTTCATCTATTCTTCAAAGCGCAAAATGAGACAAACATTTGAAAGTATTGCAGTAATGAACTTTTTTCAAACTTTTTTTAAGAGTCATGAACGTAGTGAATACTCATAGGTTTTGCTAATTTTTTTGTTTGCTTTCATGAAAGTTTTAAAAATTTTTCAGACAAAATTTGATGTTTCGCGGTGTTTAGCTTTTGAAGTTTTTTAAGTTCACCTCATTTCATTTGTTGAAAAGAAGGCAAACTCCACTATCGAACAGCATAAGTGTAAATGTCACAAAAAACGTGATCTAGCTTCGAAAGTGGATTTTAGTTTTCAGATTTCCCAGCGGAAATAAATTTCACCTATTGATCCAGTTTTCTCAAATTGTTTTTTAATCAAAAGAAGTGTCAATCATAAATTGCTCTGGAAAGTCAAAGAGCTTCTAGGATATATACATATTTTGCGTTCATTGGCTCTTTTTTCCAACTGTTGGCTATGTTTTCTACTTCGAAAAAAAAAGGATAACCTATTGATAGCTGCTCTAGAAGTAGTTAGCTAACTCATCAAGTTGCTATTAAGTAATTTAGGCTGAGATAATCATTCAAAATATGGCATCCCTTTAAATTTGTTCAAGCTAAATCTGATTTTTTTGTGGTTTGGCTTCTGAGTTATTTTAAAATTAAAATCAAGTTTGTTAGCTGAAAGGAAGGCAAATCTAATTACGAAAGTATAAATGGTGCAAAAAACGTGAATAACTTCTTTTTTCGATAGTGGTTGTTTTTTGGATTTTCCAGCAAAAAAAAATTCTTAAATCGATTCATTTTTCTCAATTGAAGTTTTTACCAAAAAAAATGTCGATCATAAATAGTTCATGGATATCAATTTGATTCTCTGAAGCTGGAAACTTGAAGTTTTCAAATTTTTTTTTTGGTTTCCTTGCGTTAGTTGATAATTTTCCCCCTGTGTGTTGACTATGTTGACTGCTTTTAGCTCAATTTGAAAAAAAAACTCAAACGGTGATTTCTTGCAAGATAATGGGGTTTTGAAAATTGACCATTTTGGACCAATTCGCGGTAATTAATGCGCATTACTTACGTGTTTATCAAAGGCTAATACTGCTCGGAAATTATTTCAAAATAAACGAATGTAAGGTAATTGCTTCAAATAATAAAATAATACATAAAACGCGTGCTTATCCTTCCGTGCAGGTATAAGTTGGGTTTCGAAGTTGTAAATTTTTCATTTGAATTTTTAAACCAAATTTACATCAAACACGGTAAAGGACAGTTGTGACCTACAAAGCTTCTCCCTGATACGAGCAGTCTTGTTTGCTTGCAGTGCCCTCAAAATAAGAGTACAGAAAAATTATTTGATAGCTTTCTAGGTTAACTGCCTCAAAATAGATGTCGATATCACCCCCCATTTTTCTAATTAGAGTCACTCTCTTCTTTACACTATTTTTTTAAATCCAACCTAACTCGCAAATAAAAGTGTACATTAAAAGTTTTCTCTTATTTAGTGGCCTTTTTGCTGTAATCTTGATCTGTTGCATATGAAGTTTCATAGCATCTGTTCTATGCTTTATTTTTGGCTGGTGTTGGTGATGTTTTAAGCGTCTGTGACTGAGTGGTTAGTGTGTGAGACTCATCATCTCTAGGTCGTAGATCGAAACTGAGACTTAGCCCAATTTTTCTAATTCGAGGCTTGTTCTTTTTCTTATTGCACTTTATAGAGTTGATTTTTGTCGTGTTCTCGCTTGTGTTAAATATGTTACTGGATAAAAAGAGATAAATTTAATGTTGACAATCCACCTAGGTATGGCGGTCGACAGAGAACGGGGTGGTGCAAAGTTGAGTACTCGGTCGAATCTTTCAACCGAAAAGCCCACCATGACTTCGTTTATGGACCCGGACGCCATGTGGCGAGAAGCGAACTGCCGAAGACAGACGAGTGGATCCGACTGAACGATGGGGTCTCGTGGGAATTGGAATCGGAGGGAGAGTTCAATTACAAAATTGTGACTGATCTCGAAACAGACATGTCTGCTCTGAAGTTTGTGGACTTTATGGATGGGAAGGACTACTGCTTCATTGGATCACGATATGACTTCGGCCTTCCCTCATACAGGGATGTTGAGGTTAGTAGCTGACAGACAAGGTTAATTCACCCAACTTCTATGACATGAACTCGAACTAGCTTAGCAAGGCTTGGGATTTAATCGGGCCATTTGATGAATGATTCTTTTTTGTTTTTGTAGTCTTTCCTGGAAAACCTGCACGATAAGGCGGAGATATTGGTGGACCATGTTCATGAGATCTACTTCCTGACTGCTGGAGACCTTCTCCCCCCTGGAGTGTACCTGGACCCCCCAATCAGGCAGCTGTGTGGACCTGACACCTACAAGTTCTCCGTGGCTGCTATCAACCCGGACAATGACCCAGATATTGGCCGAGTGGCCAAGGCAGAGGCATACTACTACTCAGCCAGCAAGAACGTCGACATGAGACAGTATGTGTTCAGTTATGAGACTTTTCTTTTAAATTGAAAGTTTTAATTCGTGAATTGTTTCATTGAGTGGCTTGCGAGCACGCACGCCAGCTTTTTTTTTCTGGCAGATTTTTTGCTAGCTCAATGAATTTAACAAATTAAAAGCTTTATCGAAATGTCTTAAAAAGCTTCTGATTGAAATATAACCAAAAACGAGATCTGCATTTTTTTCGTGAATCAAGAATCCAACGAGGAATTGCGAGATTGCTTCCAAAGCTCTATAGATTGCTTTAAAGCTTTAATGATGACCATAGGTTGCTTCCAAAGCTTACTTTGTGATTAAATTGATTTTTTTTTGGAAAAAACGAAAACTTTTTTTTTTAGACTGGAGGACATCCTGACTGTGATGCAGACCCTTCAGCGACTGCAGGAAGTGCTGGCGTATCTGCCCAGTGGTGGATACGTGACTCAGAGTGGAACTGGAAGAGTGGTCTCCTTCGAGATAGTCCACCCCAAGTCAGCTCTGGACATTAGCACTGGATCTCTGTCTCAGTATCCGGCTATACAGAACAACGCAAACAAAGAGGTCAAGGAAAGCCAAGAGAAGAAGGATGAATAAACAGAAAAGCAGTAAAGACGGCGTTTTCTGATTACTGCTTCACGCCTAAAACTTATTTTTTATGTCAAAATCTGCATGTGTTCTAAATTGTTCGTAAATTGGGCGAAAGGATTAACAAAATTAGTCAATGTAGGAGTATTTTCATGTCTTGGCATCAAAATTTATAGTTTTACGTAATACTAGGTTGTTTTTCGATTTGTTGACCTTTCGACTTATTGGCACAACAGTTATCTCAGTGCTTGTTTGCTGTTCTAACATTTAAAGCGGCTATCGCGGCTTTGACATCCAAATGCGCAACCAAAGAACCCAATGTACCAAGAAGAGAACGAACACATTCGAATTTTAAAGAAATTTGCTTCAAATTAGTAGTTTAATGCTGAATCTATGCACAATTGTAGAATCAAGTTGAAACGCTGTGTTGTCTTTAGAACTAAACCTAGAATAATCTTTCGGGTGAGTCTAAAATGAGCGATCTGAAAGCTTTGAGAGATACGTACTCGTAGTTAGAATTTGAAGAAGAATGCAAATGATGCTGATGATAATCAGCTACACTGACAGCCTTTCTTCAGTTTTATCTTTCATGCTACCCCATTTTTAAATGAAACATTAATCGTAGTTAGATGAAAATTTACTCTATTATAAATGAGCTATATTAAATATAAATCCTAATATAACGGGATTGGTGAAGGGATGTTTTGATGAAGACTAACCATGTTTTCCTTTATAACTAACATAGTGCACAAATGGAACCAGTTTGTATAAATTAAGTGAAATCAAAACTTTGTTTAATTTTGTATGATTCGAGGTTTAAGTTTGAACTAGACGTTGCAACGAAGCCTACAATTTGAAGTTTTGTGAAAGGTTCCTCTGGAACCGAGTGCAAATTTAGAAGCTGGCTTGTTGGTTATAATTTTCCAATCTCTTTTACCGCCTCCAAGACCCTTATTGCAAAGAGGGAGTGTGAATATATTAAGTAGGTACAATATTCGACATGTGCATTGGCGTGAAATAATCTTGTATGGTGGTGCATATTTTATTTATTTTTATTTGGGGGGGGGGGGGGGGGGTGGGGTCAGTTTAAGAGGTCAAGTTTTTCAATAAGTCAAGCGGCGCTGCAGTACTTTTTATTTTATAGCAACCGTGTGATTTTCATAGTGCGAGCAAATGGTATCAAAATTGGAGATTGAGCGATGCTTTCTAGTGCTATCAACGATGAATATATTTTTGGATTGAACCTAGTATCGGGCAGAGCAGTTTTTGAAACACCACGCACATACTGTAAATTGAATTAATTTTTATAACTATCATATACTTTTTTTTTCGCTCAGTTAGAAGTCATTAGAGGTTCTGAGTTGCAACCGTAAGGAAGGAGCAGAGTTCTTCTTTATGACTCCTTCGAAAGGCTGCAACAGAAACAGTCACTAAATTATTGCAAAAGTATGAATATCAAGAGAGACAAAAAATATGCAGAGTTTATGAACGTTTATTCGACGTTAGCTATCGGATTCAATCGATCAAACAAATAAACCTGTCGGATTACTTTGGTATAAATCAGTTGACTCTATTTTAGATGTCATGAAAAGTGACCAGCCGCTCTCTTGCTGGCATGAAGATGCATGTATGTCCTGAAGATTGTCTCTAAACGCCAACAAGCAAAACTACTTACAGACCCCATATTCCAATCATTCACAGCATTTCGAAATTGAATTGAAACCAACATGCTTATTATAGTGACCGCAGATCCTGAGTTCACAATCGCGACGTAAAGTGTCCCAAAAAATTTCGAAGCATGCAGCAAGCTTGGTTACCTAGTAGCCATTCGAGCAATGCTTTATCCGACGGCCGTTCATCCTCGCGTGGAAGCTCCAAAGAACGAAGCGGGAGAAGTAACGACGTCGAAAAGATTTCGAATTACGAAGTTCTTGACTTGCTAGGAAAAGGCGGGTTCGCTTGTGTTTATAGAGCTTTATCTAATAGAACAGGACAGTATGTAGCTATTAAAATGATCGACAAAAAGCTAATGAAAAGCGCAAATATGGCTGGTAGAGTTAAAAACGAAGCTGAAATTCACTGTCAATTAAAACATCCGTCTATTGTCGAGCTGTATACTTACTTCGAGGACAAACATTACGTATATATGGTCATGGAATTATGCGCCAAAGGTGAACTTTACACCTATATGAGATCTAATCAGAAAGTGTTCACCGAGTTTGAAGCTCAAAAATTGTTCCGAGAAGTGATTGAGGGCGTGGTTTATTTGCATTCGCATGGAATTATTCATAGAGATTTGAGTTTGGCGAACTTGTTGTTGACGCATTCTGATCATTTGAAAATATCCGATTTCGGACTAGCTACTCGAATGACAGACGTGAAAGAACAACATTTCACGATGTGTGGAACCCCGAATTTTATTTCACCAGAAATTGCCTCGAGAAGCGCGCACAGTTTCGAAACTGATGTTTGGAGTCTGGGATCCATGCTTTATACGTTCTTAGTAGGAAGACCTCCTTTTGATACGGAAAACATCAAATCAACTTTAACCAGAGTGGTGAATGCTCAGTTTGAAATACCGCATCACTTGTCGGCTAATGCACAGGACTTGATACAATCACTTCTGAAGAAAGCTCCTGCGCAAAGGCTGAAGCTTTACGAGATTCTTGACCACCCTTTTATGAAGCAATCTCAGCTTATGTCATTTTCATCAATGCCTGTCAGCAAGTCCCAGGAAATGTCAAACTCAAATGACAGTGGGAACTGCACTATGGGAAGAACCGGAAATGATTCTAGTGCCAACTTCAAAAACTCATCCCGTAGGAATTCCTCGATTTGCAATGAGAACAATGGCCGAGTTGCACATCCCAAAAAAGCGAGCTCTAATGACGAATTGCCGCCTAAGCCTCCTAATTGCGTTACAAGTAATGGGAACTGCGCAAAGGAGGAAAATTTATCTAATAAACAATATCATAGAAGTCGCTCAATGGAAGTTTCCATTGTCTCAGAAAAGTCGGAAAATGTAGTCAAGTCGCGGAACAACTCGGTTGAGTGCATGACTAAGAATCGGAAAGCAAATGGACACGACAATCAGTCGAAAAAACGAGACATCGATCAAAGTTCGTCTCGAGGTAGTAGTCGGCAGAATTCGGAACAGTTTTCGGAAAGTAGTTCGAGGCTGCCTCCGGTGATTCCTCCGTCATCCCACAAATCACGTGACAAAGAGCGCGATAACAGCGAAACGTCGCTTTGCATGCTAACTCCACCCTTAGATTCGAGTCGTCTAAAACCGATCAAACAAGTCACAAAAAGCGCAACTATTTCCATTCTCGAAGATTGCACTGTGTTGTTGGAGTTCTCAAAGACAACAGCTAAAAAAGAGAAAATATCGACGGCGCTTAGTATTTCGCCCGATGGAATGAAAATCACGCTGGTTGAGCCGTCGGGCAAAGGGAACAATTTAGGTAAAGGACCGTGGAACCCTGATAATAGTAAGACATTTACTTATCACAATCTACCTGCTAAACACTGGAAACGATATCAATACGCGGCCCGATTTGTTCTTATAATTCGATCAAACACTCCAAAAGTGACGTTATACAACAGTAGTGGTAAGTTTATGCTAATGGATAACGCTCCGAACCCTGATTGTGAAGCTGTTTACAGAAATAGCAGTGCCAAAGTCCGAAAAAGCAAAGAGGGGATTAAAATTGTCGACACTTACGGAGAAAACCACATGTTCGAGAACTTGGAACAACTGCATACTTATCACGACTCAAAGGTGAAAGACCTATTCAGTCATGCTGCGAAAGCTTTTAGCTACTGCGAGAAAGTGGAAAAAGGTATTAAGAACCTAGAGGAAACTTTGTCGGCCGACTATCACGAATCGCTTTTCCCGATCACGGTCGGAAAACGAATGGCATCAATCAGCCCTAGCTCGACTCCTAGTTCAAACGCCCAAAGTCAACTTACAATGACTGGGGGCGAATTCTCAACGACAAGTTTTGGTCAAATAAGCATGTCATCAACAGCGTTGGTTTCCATGGCTTCCAAGAACGGAAGTTCGGATCGTACCCAAGGGTTCCTAAATGGCTCCGGAAATTCCCTTTCAACGACGTACGACAATGAGAGACAACCGGCTGGTCGATTGTCATCGACTGGTAATGTATCGCCAATTCAAGCCAAACATATGACAACGTCATCGCCTCTGGTCAATGCAATTATCGCCACACCTGGAAAGCAGGTCAACAAACCTCAAATGGGGTCATCATCAGCTCACAAACAGGGTCACCACCAAAGGTCATCTTCAGCTCAGCCGGTATCACATCATGCATTGGGTTCATCAGCTTCAACTTCAGCGTCATTTGGTCAATCACATTCTGGGGTCACTGGGTCAGATAAGGTAGGGTCAACTTAAAGGAAATGATACGAAAATAAAGGAAATGATATGAAAATGATGAAAGCTAAGTTCATAGCTAGTTTTTACTTGCGTAGTGATACATTTTTTTCTTAAGAACTCCAAAAATAGTATGACTGGTTTGTTTATATCGAATTTTTTCACCAATGAAATTTTGTTTTGGTGAGTATCTTAATCCAACTAGTTTGGAATCCAACTAATGAAATCACAGATCTTAAAGATTTTTTCAGATTTTAAGTTCTCGAAATGTTTCTGGGTCATTTCTAAGTCTGCTTTTCCCTGAACTAGATCGAAGTCAAGAGTGACTCTGGTTCCTTCCTTGGTCACGTGTCACAGGACGAGAGACTGGGTACAGTGGTCCAGTTCAAAGACGGAACCCAAATAGTCATCGAACCTAACTCCTCCCATTTCTCTCTTACGTCATCATCATCCTCGTCAATAGCCTCTTCGTCGGGTCACCCGCCGCAGCCGGCAACCACGACTAAGTACAGCTTCAACAGTCGACTCCCAGCAGATGTGCGAGAGAAGGTCTCGCTGCTTCCTCTTTTCATAAACGCTCTCTCCAAACACTCAAACCCTTGTTTCTGAGTTCTGATCAAATGTTCTGTTCTGTTTCACTTTTAACCTGACTGACAAGTAAATCAATCCATGAAACCTCTAAAAATTAACCGCAATCTCACGTTGAGTTTAAAAAAATAGTTCAAGAATTTAGACGAGTTTTCCGAGTTGTCTGGTTGCGTCTCGCGATAAGTTGAATCTTGTTTGTAAAAGGTTTCACTAAACAGTCATGGTTAAAAATGAAAAAGAACCGAATAATTGTAAACATACGAATAATTCGATTGAATCTCATTTTCACGTGTCTTTATTTTTCTATCCCTCGTATAATTCTTCCAAGTTTTGGACTTTTATTGTTAATCAGATTGATTCCAAATTTGCATTATTTTATTTTAATCGTAGTATTCATTTAAATATACGTTGATTGATTATTAGTTCTCCTTAATAGTGTTTGAATCATCCTCAGTATAAAATACGCAATTTATTGAAATGCTCTTATTTTCTTACTTTTCAGAAATCGTGCCATTGTTTTATAGATTGAGTCCTTCGTTCGTTCTTGGTTCCTTTTGAGTTTATTTTCCGGTTCAAATAAATGGTGGCGAAATGATTTGATATTGCGATTATTCGTTTGATAAGGTTAAAATTCTTTACAAAGTTTGACCATATAAATCATCAGTGCCCTTCTTGCCTTAGTTTCAAAAAGTGTCTTCTGCAAAAGTGTTGCCTTTGTGGTCTTGTCTGTGTGCTAGAAATGAGTTGTAAATTATGTAAATATTGAATATTGTAAAGTAGATTATCATTCCTTATGACAAAATAAAACGTCCAAGTAGGCAGTTTTGAGATGAGCAAAACAGAATTCTTTCTTTCTTTTTTTCTTTTTTCTTGGGTCACTGATCATATTTAAGAAGAGCACCCCAATAGATATAATTCATAATCAAAACAAATCAAGTCTGAAGAGGAATGCCGTTTTCAAGATGAAATGGAACCATTCATCAAGACCCATGGGATGATCTTTTTTGCTGAACTGGAAAAGATTTCGCTGATTAGGAGTTGCCGAGACTGAATAACAGGCAGTATGAATGAGTTGCAAAAATGGTCTATCAGAACGGCTGCAAAACGTCGGCTGAAGCGAAACAATTTATCCTAATCTGAAACGGTAAGTGCGAATCACGACCTGCAAAAGTGGTTGGTAGAATCTTACCTAAATGAAGAAGAAGTTGTGTCCTGTCTTGTCTAATCGATATGAGAACAAGATCATATAAGTTGAGGCTTAATGACAGTTTGTTTTTGCCAACTTTAGACAGATAGGCTGAACTTAAGTGTAAAAGAAAAGTGATTTTTCTTGTGGGCGTATTCATGATTTGTTTATTTTTCAGGAAATTCTTGAAATTTATACACGCTCAAATTAGACTGTTTGCGGGTTGACTAATCATTTTTTCAATTGTACCGAAAAAAGTTTTTTTGTTTCAAACAGCACTACAATGATAAAAACTCGATTTCAGAAATTTTCCAACTCAAGTTATTTCTCAATTTTTTCAAATGAATAATTTACACATAATTTGGCTTTATGCTTTCTTATTTATTATATGCAAAAACGTGTCTTTTTGTATTTGGTGCTATTTTTCCTGCAACGATATCGCAATTTATCAGTTGGTGGCTAGTTTTTAGGGATTTTAATCCAATGTTTTGGTTGCTTAAAAATTGAGGTTCCCTATAAAAGCGGAGGTTCTCAAAATTTCCAAAATTTTTGGTTTCCACAAAAAGTCATACAAAAATTTTTCAATGCCCTTCTGGCAGTTTTCCAAGTTTTCAAGGGCACGTGAGATCTCAATATGATAGGGCCGGTTTTTTAACTTGGAGCGTTTTGTAAACTCTAATTTTTTCGTTTTTTTTTGCTTTTTCACGAAGCTTGCATCATGAAGCTATGAGTGACGGAAAACACGAAGTGTTATTATTGCCAAAGGATGTTCTCAAAACAAGGTTTGGCAAAGACTTTGAAGTTGAATAAACTAAATCGAAATAAACAAAAAAGCAAAAGGACTTCTGTATTAATCTATTAATACAGCAGTTAACAAAACTTTTTATCATGATTTTTTCTCTTAATTCGTTCAAATCCAAGTGACACCAATTAGAAAAATAGAAAAAAATGCAGTTCCAAAAACGGATCATTTCTGGTATTCTGGAACACTTATTTAATTGCCACGAAATATCTTTTACATGAAACAAAAACGAACAAACTCTTCTCACTCAGATTTATAAATTTTTTGATTAATTACTCAAAAAATAAACTACTATTGTTATAGTTTTTATACTTGCACTGCCCTGCAAGATTTTTAAAATTAACTTAAAAGTAAAGAAGAACGCCTCAATTCTCGTATAACTTCAAAAAGTATACTTTCATGATTATTTGGTACTGAGTAATAACTATATTCTAAATTTGTTTCGATTAGCTTATGTATTTGTGGAAGTCCTACACAAGTTAAGCTATGCGCAAAAATCTTTCGGAAAAAACTATTAGCGAGCGTTATCAAATTCGACTCTGAAAGCTTTTCGGTTAACAACTCAATTAACAAAATCATTTGAATCATTGGAGAGCACGTCGCAACAATTTAAAGTTTCTGCGTAGTTCGCTTAAAAAATCCGTTACAAAAAAGTGTCGGCATATCGTTTGTCGGGTTGTATTTTTCGATTACTTGCCACTTAACGCAATTTTCTGGCTCTGTGAACTTTTTTTTTGTTGCTGCAGCTATTTTTCCTTCACTCTGTAGTTTTTAATGATCTAACCCTAACTTCGTGTATTTTCCTTTTTTGCTTTTGTCTCGTCAAAGCTTTATTCGGCTTAAATGGGTCGGCTTAGGTTTTATGGACTTGGTGACCTGTTTTTGGTGTCGTTGCGTGAGAAAAATAATTTACGCGTACACTCCAGAAACACGCAAAATGATAGAAGTTTTAAAATTTCAGAGCTTTCTAGCCCAAATTTTTTTATATCAACAAGTTCAACTCAACTGGAGTTTTTTATCAAGTTTTGACGACTATGCTGCGGCTCAATACTCGTTTAATCGGCCTAAATGGTTTCGGCTTACTTAACGACTTTTTTTTGCCTCGTCCCAGAGGATAATAGTTTAACGCTATCCCTCTGTAAACGCGCAAAAGTATAAACATTTCAAAAGTTCAGAGCTTTCTAGCCCAAACTTTTTTTTATATCAACAAGTTCAACTCAACGTGAGTTTTTTATCAAGTTTTGTCGACTATGCTGCGGCTCAATACTCGTTTAATCGGCCTAAATGGTTTCGGCTTACTTAACGACTTTTTTTGCCTCGTCCCAGAGGAAAATAGTTTAACGCTATCCCTCTGTAAACGCGCAAAAGGATAAACATTTCAAAAGTTCAGAGATTTCTAGCCCAAACTTTTTTTTATATCAACAAGTTCAACTCAACGGGAGTTTTTTTTATCAAGTTTTGTCGACTATGCTGCGGCTCAATACTCGTTTAATCGGCCTAAATGGTTTCGGCTTACTTAACGACTTTTTTTGCCTCGTCCAAGAGGAAAATAGTTTAACGCTTTCCCTCTGTAAACGCGCAAAAGGTTAAACATTTTAAAATTTCAGAGCTTTCTAGCCCAAATTTTTTTATATCAACAAGTTCAACTCAACGGGAGTTTTTTTATCAAGTTTTGACGACTATGCTGCGGCTCAATACTCGTTTAATCGGCCTAAATGGTTTCGGCTTATGTTTCGGCTTACTTAACGACTTTTTTTGCCTCGTCCAAGAGGAAAATAGTTTAACGCTTTCCCTCTGTAAACGTGCAAAAGGATAAACATTTTAGAAGTTCAGAGCTTTCTAGCCCAAACTTTTTTTTATATCAACAAGTTCAACTCAACGGGAGTTTTTTATCAAGTTTTGACGACTATGCTGCGGCTCAATACTCGTTTAATCGGCCTAAATGGTTTCGGCTTATGTTTCGGCTTACTTAATGACTTTTTTTGCCTCGTCCAAGAGGAAAATAGTTTAACGCTTTCCCTCTGTAAACGCGCAAAAGGGTAAACATTTTAAAAGTTCAAAGCTTTCTAGCCCAAGATTTTTTTATGTCAACAAGTTCAATTAAACGGGAGTTTACCCAAGTTTTTTCGTCTATGCTGCTGCTCGATACATGTTTCTGATCATTGATTTCACGCTGGCGATTATTTTGCTGGACGTGTTTTCTTCAAATTAAAAATCATTCGTGTCAAAATTATAAAAGTTTACTACCAGATTTTTTCTTCTTTTTTAAAATTGTTTTTAATTTCGTGGCTTTCGGTTCGGTTTTTGTCTGCTAACTTGCAATGCTTTCCCGTGGTATCGTAAGTGGATCGAAGCTCTGCTTTACCTCTGTTTAAAGTACTGGTATCTTAAAAGCCGTACTTGTTTAGTTTTTCTCGCTAGCAGAGTGTTCTGAATCAGTGATTTCCCGTTAATCGAAGCGGAGAAAATTATACAAATTTTCTCAAAGCTATTTTTCAGGGGTGAAAAAAATTGCCAAAGCGACGAAACGACTGCATGCTTTTATCCTTTGAACAACTTCAGGTAACATAGACCTTGAATTTGGGCATTTTTCTCACCAAAACAGGTGCCACAAATAAATTTCCTCTCAGATTGAGCGGTATATTGTTTTAAGTTCATTTAATTGTCATTCGAAGTGCATTAAAACTATAAAAATGGGTCACTGTCTGGAGTAAATACGTCCCATCTGGGTAGATTTGGAGTGATTGATTGGCAATTTACACTATCGTTGTTTTTATGGAACGAAAATAAATCATTGGTGATTTTCATTGCCTCGCCTATATGACTTTTTCTTTTTATTGAAGTGCAATTACCCGCACAATTTTTTCTGCAAAGATTTTTCAACCCTCTTGGACGTTCTGCCATACCAGAAGCATTGTGGAATTCAATTAGAGCGCTGAGATTGACTAAGTTTTGGTCGTGCATTAAACAAAAGAGCCTGTGATCATAATTTTCTTTACTTTTATTTGTCTGACGAGAGCGCAGAAAACAATTATTTAGAGCTTAAACCATTTAGAAGTTGTCTTATTGATGAATTTTACTCTGTTGAATTTCTCAATAAGGTAGTTGATTCTGCCCCGAAGCAAACTCCAAAATCAAAGCTATTTAGTATTCCAGAACAAAAAATTATTGTCATTTGCAGTGTTTACTTTCGACCGCGGATTGCGGAGTCATGTATCTCAGAGAAAAGCGTTTAAAAATTAAAACTATCGTAAAAAATTTTTGCTCTTTAACATAAATAAAAATATTTATGAGTCTGGAACGTAGTGAACATTCTTATATAGGTCTTGGTGATTTTTTGTTCGTTTTTTTCAGGAAAAAGTCATACAATTTTTTCGGGCTGAAATTTGATATTTCGTAGTTTGACTCGTATTTCGTTTTAAACTCAGTTATTTTTTTTGTTAAAAAGAAGGCAAGCGCACTATCAAACAACAAAAGTGTAAAGGTAAAGAAAAATGTGATCGATGTCTAGTTTTGAATTTGAATTTCCCAGCGAACTGAAAAATTTTCATGCTGAGTCAGTTTTCTCAAAATGGGTCATTTTTATCACAAAAGTTTCAATCATAAACTGTACTTGAAATTCAAAGAGCCTCAACGTCATATTTTTTCTTTGAAATTCGAGTATGTACTTTTTGTTCCGATTTTCGTACCAAAAGTAACGTAACTTTTGTGCTCGGGGTGGGTTTTTTGTCTTCAGACAAATTTCGACCTTTTAACTGGCCATTTTTGACGGAATTTTTAAAAATCATTCGAAAGGTATTGTTGTCCTGAGCTCAAATTTGAAAAGATATTTTACCAGTGATCAATTTTACCAGTGATATATTTCGCGCTATTAACGCGTAAGCGGAGATTTAATCCGTCTTAGAAATCGTTCCAAATTGGTTGAAGGAAGTCTATGTGCAATAATTGATTTGTTCATAGGAGCGAAAATTATCACTTTTTACTTTATATGGCGATTGGGGGGATGATTTTCACAAAAAATCTCAATTTTTTTACGTTTTATTTTTTTAATTTGATTTTTTTCTTGTTATTACTGCTCCATAGAGCTTAAAAGGCAGTCAGAACATCCAAGGCTTCAACCTGATACGAGCAGTCTTGTTTCTTTTCATTTTTGTTCATTGACTCTTTTCTAACTCTCTGTTGGCTATGTTTTGAACCTACTTTACAAATATCGGATAAAAAATTGTTTTCCTTAAACTTACACATAGCTTTTTCATTTCCAATAAGGCATAATTTATGTTCGAAGAAAACGGAATACTTATGCATGGGGTGGTTTTTTTTATTCTGTCAAATTTCGGCGATCGAAATAATTGTTTTTTAACAAAAATTTTATACCCCTTGAAGATATTGACTCCTTGAAATCAAATGTTAAAAAATATTTAACCTCCGATCATTTGTTGCGAAATTCTGAGAGTTCAAAAATTGCCAATTTGGCCACGCTCTGGTTTTTTTGTGCGCGCTTTGAAGATTGTATTCATAATGCTGAAAGCGTTACGCGACTTGTTCATGCGCGGCGAATTACCCCGCACAACAAAATTGGTCCAAATTGAATTCAGGCTATCTAATCGGTCGTAATAATTTCGTACGACTCAAGTTTTTACACTTGCTCTTTGATATTGTCCAAAAGTTTATATTTTTTAAATTATTTTTACCCCTAAAAAGTATTCGACATGGATTAAGGGACAGTGCGAACATTCAGGGCTCTGCCATGATATATGAGTAGTCTTGTTAGTTTCCATGAACAAAATGAGTTGAAAATATTTTGATTGAGATCGCAATTTATGTTCCCCAGCGGAGCTCAGGTTTCTTTCTCCAGTAATGCTGCGTGTCACATTCAGATTTAAAAATAAGTTTATCATTCAGATTACTCCATGGAATAAAACAGTTCCTTCCCTTTTGTCTATTAGTCTAAAATTGGATTTATTTGGTAATCAATTACTTGTTGAAACTAAAAGAACTCTTTTGTGGGTGTTGAGATAGGTTCCATGATTTTCAAATTGGAAATTAATTGAAGATAACTGGTTGCTGTTCGCCCAAACTGATTCAAGAAAAGAATTTAAACATTAAAATCATAAAAAAGTGTTTCAAGTTTTTTATCATTTTTCGTTTAATTTTGTTATTTTTTTCCTGTAAAGCGTGTTAAATAATGCTAAATTGATTTGTCATCAAGGCGAAAATAATGAGAATGAGAATACCATTTTTTCTCGTCACAGACAACTTTTTTTTAGAACTCAACAGTTTTCAAGAATCCGAATTACGGACAATATGGCTTTATTATGATATTACTTTTGGCCGCCTGCGAGCTTTCTTCAAGATTGTAAAATTTGGCTGAAAAAAATACCGTAAGCCATTAATCTTTCGGTGGTTGGAACAAATGCTTTCAATCAAATCTGCCGTTTTTCGATCGGTTTCTGTAAATTCAGTAATGTTTTTCCATATTTCTGTTGACGATTACTCATTGCTGAAGGGAATTAATTCAACGGCAGATTCGGTATTATGATATATCAGCATTATTTAGTCTAATTTTTGGAAACAATCGGCTGGTACAGACTGAGTGCTTGTCGGGCTAGGGACATAAACACTTATGAAAACATCCAGACTATATCGGTGCGCAGCGTCGACGCAAACTAAGCGCCTACCGCAGTTCTATTGGAATAGAATTTTCAAAGCCAGACAAACGGCCATAGGAAGAATTCTGTTAATTAAGTTTGTTGGACGAAATCTGTAGTAGAATTATACGTGCACCTTCCTTACCCTTGCATGGTCATACAGTTTTGATGCTCGATGGTTTGTAGATATATTACTATTTTTAGGTTGACCGCTTCAAAATAGAAAAAACTTGGGGAATTTCTAATGTTAGTAAAAAATAATCATAATCATAACGTTATCAATTCGGAATGTAGACTTCTTTCGAGTTAACAACTAGTTTAACAAAATCAGCTAAATCACTTGTGACAATGCAGCTGTGCAGCTATAATCATAAGAATATTAAATTGTTTCCAAACGATATCTAGTTAGAGAGTTATTTATAAAAACTTACAGATACAACTTGCAATCATTTGGTAGAACACCATTAGGCCAGCACGGCCCGTTTTCAGATGTCTCATTAAGCGGAGAGTATAAAAATTGGTTAAAAATTGGATCCAATGCAAAGGACCGTTCTACCGGTAAACATTTATTAAACGTAAACCCATTTATTCGCACCTTTAAATACTTCTCTGTATATTAAATATATTTTTTTGTTTTCTCGGGTAGTCTTTTCTACCCATAACCTAAAAACTAACAGATACAAATTCTACATAATCAACAAAAAAAATCTCTCAAAGCATGCGCAATAAAACCGTATTTCGTAGAATGTAATTATCCAAAAATTTATGAATAGAACTATTCAATTGAGACCGAGAAGCCCTTTCGAGAAGTTGACCCAGGCGGGAAAAAAATTTACAACAATAATAAGCATTTTTCTAATTTCAGATGTAATCGACCCTCTGATGAGTTTATTTCTTATTGTAGCTTACTTTTGATTTGATTTACTCTTTGAAAATATCACGTTTATTTCTTGTTCAGTAATGGCATATCTCATTAGATCATTTTGGATAATTTCCCCGGATATTTTCAGAATTTCGTTCAAAAAAAATTCTCTTACGGTATATAATTTGTTTTCATGCATTAATTCAGCGATTGAATCCATCCTGCGCTTATAAAAAAAAATATTCTATTTAGCTTTTTGATTTCCATTTCCAATTCTAACAGTTTGGTTTTGTCTGTGTTTGCATAAACTCAAACTCCTTACTGGATAATTGGTTGCACATAACTTTTGTACGCAAATGTTAATTGCTGTCCTGTTAGAAACTTTCTCATTTGACAAAACACTCCACAGAATTGCAAAACTTTAATTTTTATCTGATCAATATGCTGATGGAAATTCAATTTAATGTCGAAGTGAATCCAAGATATTTAAAACATTCTACATCTTTCCTATGGGTGTCATTAAAAAAATATTTGACAGGTCCTTTTTCAGTTCTTTGGGTCCGACAGTGGCCCATGGTCTCGGTTTTTTGATATTTAGTGTCAGTTTGTTCTTTTTTAACCAATCATTTACTTCAAGCAAAGCCGATTGATGTGCGAGAGCAATAGAGTCATATAGTATGTGTTGCTTGTGGATTTCAAAACAGTGTCATCAGTTTACAAAATTACTCCTTTGTTTTTCGTGACTATTTGAAGATCGGTTATGTAAAGTATGAATAAAAGTGGGACACGGATGGATCCTTGAGGTACTCCAAAAGATGCCAGCTTAAGTTCGTTTTTTAAAGAAATTGTTTCGATGTGCTGACAGCGAGTGCCAAGGTAAGATTCCAAAAAATTTAAGACAGGCCCTCTGAGTCCCATATGTTCCACTTTTATTAGCAGATTAGAATGATCAACTGTATCAAAAGTCTTTGTGAGGTCTAAAAAGTTTGCTGAACTGTTAGATCTTTGTTCGATAGCGATGTTGAAACTTCTTTCAATAATGTAAGCATGGAGTCAACAAGGCTCCTTTTTGATCTGAAACTGAACTGAGTCTTTCGGATGATTTTAAATGTGCTGCTGCATTCTGTCACTCTTGTTGGAAGTCAGCCGATTTTGTTTTTTAACATGCCATTCCCTATCAGAATATCCTCAATTTTCATTCGCTTGTCGAATTTAACAGAAAATTTACGTTGAAGTCACTACAAACTATGTGCTCAGTTTCAGGCTCTAGCGGTAATCCATCCAAATAGTTTTGCAGACCTTTGAAGGTATCATCGTTGCTTAGCGAGTTTGGTGGAATGTAAAGACAGGTTACTACAATTTTTTTTGTTTATTTGAGTTTTTATGAGAACTGACAAGATTTGAAT